GCCCTCCCCTCCTCGGGTCGCCTACGGCCCCGGGGGGAAGCCGCCCAGTGCGCCCCCGGCATCCTGGCGGACCTCCCCCCCGCCCACGCGGCCCAGGGCCCCGAGATCGGGCGCGGCGTGTCCGCCCAGGTCTACGAGGCGAGGGCCAGTGGCCCCGGCCCTCGGCCAGCCCGCGGCGTGGGCACGCCGTGGCGATCCGATCAGTCGATCCTTCCTCCGCCTCCTTTCCCCCCCTCCTCCTCCCTCCGGCTCCTCCCCCTCCTCCTCCCCCCCCATTTCTCGATCGCTCTGGCGGTGGATGGGTTGCACGCCGCTTTCAATCAGCAGCGTGCCAGTGGGTCAACAAGGCCAGGTGCTGCTCGTCTCGCGTATCATGCACGGTTTCGTGCTCAGGCCATCCGCTCATCTGCAGCGAGAGAGCTCATAGCAATCAGATCGAGAGTGGATTGACCGAGGACCTGCCCTCTTCTCGTCTCGTGCTCTTTTGCGCCTGCCCTCGTCTCGCTCCCAGGTCTGGTCATGGCTCCTCCCCCCCTTTTGACGTTGCACGGACATGGATCTGGGATCGTTGCGTTCGGAGCGTGCGAAAAGAAGAGTGCTGAAAGCCGATTCGGGCCTATAACACATTTCGTAATGTAGGACGACGAGTAATAGATGACCGGGGGTCGTGTTGCGTCGGCGGCGCCATCGAGGATGATTAGGAACAAATCCGCCGCGGCCTGGGAAACTATTTGTTTAATCGTTCCCTCCTCTGCCGTTCTGGGGGGCGCCGCCGAGATGTTTTATCGACTTGAGCTTCTCTTCTTAATGAGAACGTTTGTTTTGTACAAACATGAAGCTGACGTGAACTAGAGTTTTTGTTCTATCATCTAAATTCGACGTGGATTGTATGTTTGACGTAACATTTTCAATCCGACGCCAGATGAGCATTATACATAATGTCTGAAGCCGACGTGAGACGAGCATTTGACGTAAAGTTTTGAAGCCGACGTAGAATTGGCATTTGACGTAGAATTTGAAGTCGACGTCGAATGATTATTTAACGCAAGATTTGACGACGACGTGAAATGAGTATTCGACGCAATATTCGAAGCCGACGTGTAATAGAGCAGTATACAGTTGTTTCAATCGTCCTCCTCCCGTTAGAGAATCATACACAAATCAAAGAAACTATGCTTTGAACCGTTCCCTTTTTTTGAAACACAAATCGTCATTCTGCATTAAGCCTGGCGGGCGCAGCAGAAATGGCAGGGCAAAGAGGAACGACACTATAGTCTTAAGCCGGGCCTGTCCCTCTACAGGGGGGAATATTCAACAATAGTTTAAAACATAGGCTGGGGACGATGTTTGGACTATATTTGTCTATGTTGGGGGTTTGGACTTTTCTTATTTGTCATCCCAAATCGGACTGTAGGGGGACATGCCCGACCTAACAATAGTCAGGGGGGCCCGAAGGGCACAAAGCATGCGCCCGCCACACCGCAATGTGGAGTGGGAAATAGAGCAGATATACATCATACCTTATGGCCAGAGGGAAATGCCGAGCAGGGTGAACGAAATACGCGCGTAACAGAGGACTGTAGGCGGAATGATGCTAGCCTGCACGTTGTTGAGCAGGAGCTGTCTGTTTAGAGGAAGTTTTCCCTCTAGTGACGCCAGGCAGCCATAGTAGAGTCCCCTCCCGACCCCGCCCAATAATAACTACCGCCGAGCCCCCCAAGAATTAGCGAAGGTAGCCGAGGCTAGGCGAGCTTCAATCAAAGTAGTAGTATCAGAGCAGGCGACTGTAGAGGTGCGGTGAGTCTTTAGGCTGGCCGTGTAGTCTGGCCTGTGGTGCGTAAACATGGCCTGTAGTGCAAGCTGCTGTAGATTTCAGCTGTGGGTGAGCTTGAGACCTGGTGTGACGGCGGGCCATGAAAGGCTGGAGGTAGAGTGGACTATTGTGTGAGCTGCTGGTGGGAGACCACAGTGGGAAGTAGCTTCCCCTCCTGTCGGCCAAAATGGCATAGGCAGCCAACAGAACAGATGATATTTATACTTAGCGAGAGGGGGGCATGAAATATTGCAGTAGAGGGGCCACGCTCTGGAGTCCACGGGGGCCTGACACATTGCAGTAGATCTCATGCCTCCAGATCCTCAGTAAGTAATCCTCTCAATCAAACCTCCATTCCGTCCGACAGTAGATTATGTTGTGCTGGCAGTCGAGGCTTAATATGTAGAATGAGCTGTAATGAGAGAGTGCAAGCGTGGCTGCAGTCCTTGGGTTGCTACTCAGGGTTCTACGGTACACCCCGAACCTCCAGGGTCCCATGTCCTTCGTGTTTTTTTGATAACTCTTACCGGGTTAAGCACGAACATGGCGCAGTGTAGTTTGGCTGGCGCAGTGTAGTTTGGTTGGCTTTTGTAGTTGGCACGGCGTATCTAGCAAAGCACTGACAATGTTGAATGCGACAGCCAGTGCGAAACAAGAACACCTGAGAAAGTAGAGCAGCTGACGGCGCAGGAGTAACACATTCAGGCGAGTCTGTGTAAGCTGAATGTGTGTGTGTGTGTGTTCCGTGTGGTAGCACGTCGGTCAGGCAGTCAAGCCTGGCGCCCACACGGCGCGCACCGAATTACGCGTACAATATTCGCAGAAGGGGGGAGGAGCGGTGTACGAAGGAGAACGACGAGGAAGGAGGTGAAGAGGGGCAATACCATACCTACAGGCAACGTGTTGGCAGAAGCTCATAAACTCAAGGGGCTCATTCATGTTTAGACTTCCCCCGTCGTAGACAGTCAGTGCCTGAGAGGATGGTCGCCCGACAACGCTGCGATTCATGTGTAAAGCCTCGGGCGCGCTTCGATCTGGAGCCCAGGATGCTGATCAGCATCGGTGCGGATGACAGGCGTACAACTGGCGCCCTCCCTCGGGTGCTGGCAGAGGTTGGCCTCGCAGAGGGTGTCCCCAGATGTTGAGGAGGAGGAGGACGAAGAGGAGGAGGAGGAGGAGCCACTTTCTAGTGCCCCTTGGGGGCGCTCTGGGCCTCGTGCCTCGTGGTGGGCTGCTCTGGCGGCCATCTGGGCCTCCGTGGGAAAGCTGTGGCCCACATATCCGACGTTGTGATTTTTAAGCACAACAAAAGAAACACGGCATCTCGGGTAATCGCGGCCAGAGCCACCAGAGCCATGGACTCCGATCTCCTTGCAGCACTTTTTTCGAGCCGGATCGGTCCGTAGGACCCCCCCAGGCCCGAAATCAACGAAGGCGCTTGGTGTGAACAAGTTGCGACGCCACGATCTCCAGGTCCGACATCACCCCCTCCCCCTCCCTCGTGGCGGTGCGCAGCAGCCTCCCTGGACCACACGTGGGTGACCTTTCGCAGGAGTGACCTTTGGTGCAAGCCGACCGCAGAGCGCGATCTGACAGCAGCGTCTTGCGCGCTTGGATTTGCCCCTTCCCCCCCCCCGCCCCCACGCCCCCCAAAAGTTGCGCACCACAGGCCATTAGCGCCGAGGGTCTCTCCTGCGCGCCGCCGACTCCGAACCGAGGCGGGGACCCGCTGGGCTGCGACGCCCTCGGGCTCGCCGCTGGCGCCGTCTGCGACGAGGGCCACGTGCAGTGCGCCCGGACCGCGTGCTCCATCACGGGCGCGGCCGAGGCGCGGTGGCCAGTCATTCTTCGAGTGGCCCAGACCTCGGGCGGATCAGAAGGGCGAAGTTCGAGATTCGAGAGTGGAAGCTTTTGGGGAGGGGGGGAGAGGGAGAGGAGGGGAAGTAGGGAGGAAGGAGGGGAAAGAGGAGGACGAGGTCGTAGAGGAGGAGGAGGAGGAGGAGGAGGATGATGATGATGCTGATGCTGATGCTGCTGCTGATGATGATGATGATGATGATGATGATGATGATGATGATGATGATGATGATGATGATGATGGTGGTGGTGGTGGTGGTGGTGTGTGATGATGATGATGATGGTGATGAATGAGGAGGAGGAAAGGAGGAGAAGGAAGAGGAGGAGGAGAAGGAGGAGGAGGAGGAGGAGGTGGAGAAGAAGGAGGAGGAGGAGAAGGGAGGAGGAGGAGGAGGAGAAGGAGTAGAAGGAAGGGCAGGAAGATGAAGAGGATGATGAAGAGGAGGAGGAGGAGGAGGAGGAGGAGGAGGAGGAGGAGGGGGAGGAGGAGGGGGAGGAGGAGGAGCAGGAGAAGGAGGAGGAGCAGCAGGAGCAGGAGCAGGAGCAGGAGCAGGAGGAGGAGGAGGAGGAGGAGGAGGAGGAGGAGGAGGAGGAGGAGGAGGAGGAGTAAGGTGGGGGAGTGGGGGAGGGGTGGAGGAGGAGAAGCGGGAAGAGGAGGTAAAGGAGGAGGGTTGCGGAGGAGGGGATTGGCAGATGATGAGGGAGGATGAGTTGACGAGGAGGAGCTGAGAGGGGGGGTACACAAATCGTCTCCACCCGACGCCTCGGCCAGCGGGGGGGGAGGGGTCGCGGCGAGCGCCGGGCAAGGCCCCCTGGCCAGAGCCTCGTCCCCGGGGACGGCGTGTGGCGGTGAAGCAGTTCAAGATGTACGGGAAGGACCGCGGGTGGCAGGGAGGGGAGCCAGGAACAGGACTTACCCTTCGCCGGAGTGGCGGTTGGTGCGGGCCCACCAGGGTCCCCCCGATAGCTGAGCGCGATGCGATAGCAGCGGCCTGTGCGCTTGGGTTTGGCTCCCTCGCGCGCCCCCTTTGATCCACGCACCACAAGTCACTCCTGCCCAGGGGTACTCTTGCGTGCAGCCGAAGGAGGCCCGTGGCCAAGCTCCTCCCCAGGAAGGGCCGGGTCTGGGCGTGCAGGGACGGCGGAAGTCTCCTGGCTCCTGGCCGCAGGGGTTGAGTTAGGATGGTGAGGAGGGAGGCGACGGTGGTGGGGAGGAGGAGTGACATGGTGATGAGTGATGAGGACGATCAGGATGAGGCCGCGAATTCTAGACCCCTCGCGCAATCCCGCGAGCCCATCCAGAAACGATGCCCAGCCGAGTTGCCCTGATCAGGGATGTTGAGTAGAATGCAGTGGAATACGTAAAGGGTAGGTCAAGACGTCGCACCCCAAGAGGGGGAGGATGGAGGAGGAACTGGATGAGGAATAAGAGAACGAGGAGGAGGAGGAGGAGTAGGAGAAGGAGGAAGAGGAAGTGGAAAATGAGGAAGAGGAGGAGGAGGAGGAGGAGGAGGAGGAGGAGGAGGAGGAGGGGACATGGAGGAGGAGGGAGCATACAGATGAACACGGGGATGGGGAACCGTCGCACCCCAAGAGGGGGAAGAAGGAGGAGGAATCAGAGAAGGAGTAGGAGGAGGGGGAGGAGGAGGAGGAGGAGGAGGAGGAGGAGGAGGAGGAGGAGGAGACGGAGGGAGGAGGAGGAGGAGGAGGAGGGGAGGGAGGGCGAGGAGGAGGAAGGAGGAGGAGGAGGACGTGGAAAAGAGCGAGGAGGGGGGGAGGAGGGTGGGAGGGGGTGAGGAGGCAGGAGGGAGGAGGAGAGGAGAAGGAGGAGGAGGAGTAAGTCGATGGGGGGAGGAGGGGGAAGTTTGAGGAGAGGGGGGAGATGAGAATTAGATGAGGAGGAGGAGGAGGAGGAGGAGGAGGAGGAGAGTATGAGGAGGAGTATGATGATTATGAGGAGGAGGAGGAGGAGGAGGAGGAGGAGGAGGAGGACGAGGACGAGGAGAGGAGGATGCGGAGGATGCGGAGGAGAGTAGGAGGAGGAGGAGGAGGAGGAGGAGGAGGAGGAAATGGGCGAACAGAGGAGCCAGAAGCCTGTTGAATGCCTCTCGGAGTCTCCTCACATGTCGCTTGGAAGCTTTCTGGAGGCTTCTTGGGACGTCTGGAGGGGACGGCATCTTGGCGGGCCCAGGGCTGTCTTGGAGCTTCTTGGGTGCCTCGGGGATCCACTTGAGGCCTCTTGGGGGTCTCCTGGGAGCCTCTTGGATGCCCTTTTGGCGCCTCTTGGAGCCGCCTGGACGCCTCTTGCGGCACTCGTGGGGCGCTCTTGGGAGCTTTAGGGGCGTTCTTGAAGCCATTTTGGAAGACATCGATACATCTTGGAAGCCATCTTAAGCGATCTTTCGCTAAATGGAGCCATCTTGGAGGCCATCTTGGGCCCTCTTGGAGTCATATTGGACCATCTTGGACGCTCCAACTACCCGCGACCGCCCCCATCCAAGTCCAGGGCAGGGGGTATGGGGAGGTAAACCTCTCCCCGAAGAGTAAGAAGGGACAGCTCCCTAGACAACCTACGCCCAGAGGGCTGGTGGGAATGCAAGGAAGATTGCGACGGAGGATTGCGCAGCCTGCCTGCTAGTACGTAAAGAGAACGATGAGGGATGGGCAGAGAAGGAGGAAGATGGTTGCAACGATGATTAAGGCTACGGGGACGACGGCGAAGGGGAGAAGGAGAATGAGGAGGACGAGAATGCGGCGGCAGATGATGGCGAGGCTTGGAATAACCCCTATAAGCAGGATGACATGATGATAGCGAGGAGGAGCACGGGGGAGATGCCGACACGCTCTTCGCGAGGCTTCCGCGCAGGAGGACGGGAAGGGGAAGAACGCGGGTCGGGGAAGCAAGACCCGTGCAGGACTCGTACAGCTTGGAGCTCGTCGCGCTGGCGAGCGTGGGCGTCCACCCCAACGCCGCCGTCCCAGGAGGGCCTGTTTGGTCAGAGGAGTAAAGACGTCATTGTAGAAAGTGCATTCCAGGTTGTCTTGGAGCTCCCCGCTTAAAAAGGCCAGCGGCCTGCAGAAAGCTTCCCGCGCAGTGGGGTCCAGGTACACATTTGGGCGGGCAGGCGCGCACAGACACAGCATGTGTGTCTTTAGTTTAGTTTCAGACACGTATCTGCAGCTATACGCATGCGTCTTATGCCATTGTTCCTTCTTTCTATGTTTATGTATAGAGAGAGGGAGAGAGAGAGGGAGCAAACAACAACGAGAGAGGGAGAGAGAGAAAGAGAGAGAGAGAGAGAGAAAGAGAGAGAGAGAAAGAGAGAGAGAGAGAGAGGGACACGCCTTTGCTCCCCCCCTTGTCCCCCTTGCCCTCGCCCCCTTTCGTTGAGGTCGGAGCAGCCCCCCCGAAATCGAAGTCGCAGGAGGCACTGAAACGGCGCGCCCGTCAGGATGTCCCGTGGCTCTGGGCGTCTTGGGCCCTCGATGCCCAAGCTGCGCCGCAGGCGCCGGCCACAGAAGGTCGCCGAAGACGACGACGAAGCCGACGTCGACCAAGTCGACGACCACGAGCAGGATGAAGAGGATGGCGCGACGCGGTCTCGCCGTTGAGGTCGTGAGGCTGCTGGAGAACTACCGCGACCCGAGGTGTGGCGGTGAGGAGCCCGCCGGCCCCCCGTCTGGTGAGCACGGGCGCACGGACGAGGTACAGTCTGCCCAGTGCCCAGATCCTCCTTCTCCTCCTCCTCCTCCTCCTCCTCCTTCGCCTCCTCCTCCTCCTCCTCCTCCTCCTCCTCCTCCTCCTCCTCCTCCTCGGGTCGGACGAAAGGGCCTCAAGGTTTCATGTTTCGGTCGTTTTCGTAGTCTCTCGGTTATCTTCCAGCCTCGGGATGCTTTCCAGCAGCTGCGCCTCACTAGGAGCCTTCGGGGGGTGCTAGGATTGCCCCGCACTGCTGCCTGAGACCCGAGTGAGGATCTGACGGCCAGACCGCAGAAGCAAATTGTTCTTTTCAGCACTATGCTGCATGCCATGCACCGCCAGGATACGTGCGTGCGTCGCGGGATACAGTGGGGACGCATGTCAAGAAACGGAGCGCTTGTCGTCAGGGTGCCTCGGGGTGCGCTGTTTGGAGCGCCTGGCTCAGAAACCCAGACCCTGGGCAGGACACTTTGCGGATTTCAGGGCTGGGTTGCATGAGGTTTCTTGCGTCATGTCCGCATTGCACTTACAGGAGGTGGCGACGTTCTGCTCGCAGCGTCGAGGATGATGTAAACAGGGCAGTGTGTAAAAAGCTGCAGGCCTCAGAACCCAGACCCCTCGTCACGAAAAAAACGGTGTCGGTAGTTACTCGTTGTCGGCCCCTGCGGGCCCGTTTCGGATTTTCGGATTTTCGGATTTAGGGGAGGAGAGAGATTGAGGCTATTGGACGTTCTGTTTTTTGGGGGTCCTCCAGAGGAATTCGTGGACTTCGGAGGACGAGGGATGACACCACGTTGATTTCGCAATGGGCTCGGGGCGTAAATCTGGGGGCAACTGGGGCCGAACAGGGGCTTCACTTTCTGATTCAAGGTTCTTGATAACCAAAGAATAATGGTAGAAGAGGTGCTGTCAACACGTTGGGATGGTAATTGCTTGGCCGTGGAGTTAAATGTTTCCTGGCGGTGAGTGTGTGTATACATCTATGTTTGTGTGCGCGTGCTAAGCGTAGCCCGACTTCGTACCATGACCTCCACCGGATGCATCGCATTGGCGGTCCACGGTAAAAAAAACACGAAAGTTGCGAAGAGGTGTGGGAACCCAGCGTCGGTTTTCGATCTCTGTGGTCCAGGGAGTACTCCTCACGAAACAGTGCGTCGCACGGACGGAACTCGAATCCTGATCGCTCGCAGGTAGACGCTCTGAGAGAACATTGTGTTAGCACCACCCAGTCTTCATGATAACCAGTATATGATTGAGGCAACGCTGGCCCCAGTCACGAGCCGTGTGTTTAGATGCTCGTTTGGGGGACCTTCCTGGGACCCACCTAATGGATCTGTTCGACCCCAGTTCGACTCAAGTTCGACCCCAGTTCGACTCAAGTTCGACTCAAGTTCGACTCAAGGTCGACTCGAGTCGACGGGCGTTCGACGCAGCTTCGAGGCACGAGTGGAGCGAGTGGCTCCAGGAAGGTCCCCAGAATGAGCAGCCAAGGGTGTATTCCCCATATCCGGAAATTGGTCTCAATGTTCCACTTCCCGTCCCCGCTTCTCCCCGATTGCCCGCCGCGTCTCCGTTTCACCGCGTCAGATGGTTGGCTCCGGGTGATCCCAACAGAGATCGGAGAAGGCTCGTTCCGCATTAGCAGCAAGCGCGTGTGTGTGCATGGTGCGGCCCAGGAGCCTGCTGGCCCCAGCCCCCCCAGCGCATCGCCCGCAGCCGATCGAGGGGGGGCGACGGGACGGCCCAAGCAGGGGGCCAGTGATCAGTCCCCGGCGAGTGCCACGCGGGAGGTGCACTTGGCAACCCCATGCCCAGAGCCTGACGACAGCAAGACCAGGGAAACGCCAGCCCCGGCAGAGCCCCGCCCCCCAGACTGGGCTGGTGGAAACCGCGGCGCCAGTGCACTGCCCAGGCCCCCGCCTGGCGATCGCCCTGACGACCCCGCCCCAGACGCCGGCGACGGAGCGCGCTCAGACCATGACCTCAGGGTGCGGGGCGGATGCCGCCCCCCAGGCAGGCCCACAGTACTAAGTCGGGCCTGTCCCTCTACAGGAGGAGACCTCAAAAATAGTCCACAAATAGTCTGGGGACGAGTGTGTTTAGTATTTGTTGGCCACGTTTGACTATTTCTTAGGTATGTTCAAAAATTGTTCGTCCAACATCCGCCTGTAGGTGGACATGTCCGACCTAGCCACAGTCTCCGGGATGCTCCTGGGGCTTGCCCCGGATGTCCGCATTGGTGCTTGCATCTCCGCCAGGGGTGATGGGCGAGTTCGGCGGCATCGTGGCTCCGAAGCTAAAAGGGCGAGCGGAGGAAGGAGAAGGAGGCAGACGAGGCAAAATAGTGGACACCGCCACGCACAACAGCAACCGAATCCCACAAGCCTTTCGGGCCTAGATGGTTTAGCGAGTAGTGCCTCCGACCTTCATCTCCTCTTGGGAGGAGGTTTAACTCTCCTCCTACCCCGTCTCCCTGAGTCTGCAAGGAGCGTTCCGCGGGTCGTCGGAGGGTCCAAGATGGCCCGAAGACGGCTTTATGAGGGCCCGGGCTGGCGAGAGATGGCCTCCAACATCGAGCAGTACATCCCATTGTGGTTCAATATACTTTCTGGCGTGCCGAAGAAGCTGCAAGCCCGTCCGAAAGCGGTTCCGACCATCATGATTCGAACGCAGCATGATATTACATGATTTGTCTTATTATCGCCTTCCGCTTCCGGCGGGTTCCCCGGAGCTTCAAGATGCCTTCAGGATGGCCCAGGGGGGCCCCGAGAGGCACGCAAGGCGGCCCTGGGCGCCAAAGAGCGCCTGCCTCAATAGGGTCCCCAGAAGCAAATTTTCTGCCTCCGAGGGGCGGAGCGTAATTCGACCCTCCCCTCTTCGATCGACAGCCTCCAAGATGACCCCAAAGCGGCCGCCACGAGCCCCCGAGAAGCCCCAAGAGAGCCCAAGATGGCCCTATGAGGGCCCCAAGAGGGCCCACATGGCTTGCCAACTGGCCTCAAGAAGGCCCCACGACCCCAAGATGTCTGTGGAAGGATCCCAGAGTCCCAGAGCGTGATTGCATGTTGCAGCTCATCCCTGGTCTGGAGCTCGCCTGGCGATGGATTTTGGATGGGTTGGCGGGGATGCGCGAAACGCCGACAACTGGCCACCCAAACATGGCTGAGCATCGTTCGGACACTTGTTCAACCAAACGAAGTGCGCCACATGGGCCAAGCGACCATAATCGAACTCATGCATTGGAGCATGGCCAGGGAGGCGCCGCAGTCGGCCGCGCACGTGCGATTAAAACATTGTTTGCAAACGCGCGGCGCAAAATGTTGGACCTATTTCTTGAAGACGTCGTTTCCGTTCACTTAGCGCTTCTGCTACATCTCTTGGGATAACTCCTCCCTGCGCGTGAAGTTCTATGCCCCCCATCCCCGGGCTTCCGGGGGTGGCAGCCATCCCCACACCGCGTAGCGGCTCTCTCCGCTCCCTGGCCTCCCCCGCGTGGGAGCCCCGCGAGTGCGACACTTGCACTGGGCGCCGCCGCGCCCCTGGCTGTGATGCCGCGCGCCAGCCTTGGGATGGCGTTCGCTTCTCCACCGCTCGCCCTCGCCACCTCGTCTCTGTGCGGTCTGCGCCGCCCCGCTACCCAGCGGCGCTGCGCCACTGCTCCGCCCTCTGTCCGCCCGCGCAGCCGCCTCAGCGCCAGACGCGCCGCGATCCCCTGCCCGATGCCGCGTGCCCACGTCGCTCCCCCCCCCCCCGCCCGGGCGCCCCGGAATGCGGGCCGCCTGCTGCTCCCGCGCCCCCACCTGCTGGGCTTCGCCCGCACTGTGGCTGCTGGCCCCGCCTCTGGGTGCGTCGTGCTGCCGCCCCGCGCCGCAGCCAAGGGTCGCCTTTCAGCCTGGCCGCCCCCGCGCGCTCTCTGTGGCCCCGCTGCCTGGGAGTGCCCACGCCCTCTGTCCTCTTCCCTTGCCTATTGCACGCGGGTCAATTCCGTAGCCTCGTGTTGCTACTCGCGCGAGCGGGTTGCCTCTGACACGCCGCGACGGGAAACAAGTGTGTGTGTGTGTGTGTGTGCGTGTGTGTGTGTGTGTGTGTGTGTGTGTGTGTGTGTGTGTGTGTGTGTGCGTGTGCGCGTGTGCACGTGTGCGCGTGTGCACGTGTGCGCGTGTGCGCGTGTGCGCGTGTGCGCGTGTGCGCGTGTGTGCGTGTGCGCGTGTGCGCGTGTGTGCGTGTGTGCGTGTGTGCGTGTGTGTGCGTGTGTGCGTGTGTGCGTGTGTGCGTGTGTGCGTGTGTGCGTGTGTGCGTGTGTGCGTGCGCGTGTGCGCGTGTGCGTGCGTGCGTGCGTGCGTGCGTGCGTGCGTGCGTGCGTGCGTGCGTGCGTGCGTGTGTGTGTGTGTGTGTGTGTGTGTGTGTGTGTGTGTGTGTGCGTGCGTGCGTGCGTGCGTGCGTGCGTGCGTGCGTGTGTGTGTGTGTGTGTTTGTGTGTGTGTGCGGCGCTGCTGCGGGCCCACCGGCCCCGGCGCCCCCCCGCCGCCGCCTGGCCCCGCTCTGAGCGGGCCCGGCCTCCTCTCCCTCCCGCCCGCGCCCTTCTCTCGCGCATCGCAGCCTAGTTTGCATTTGTCTGCCCTACATCTGCTCTTTCCGCCGGCGCAGCCGCTCTGCCTAGCCACCGCCGCACAATGTTTGCGCGTGTGTGTGCCAGTGTGCGCGTGCGTTTGTGGGCATGCTGTATTCTCATTCGCCGACTGGGCTCCTGCGTCTCTTCGGAGGATTGCACCGACGCAGGGATCCCAAACACCAGCGCTGCATGATAATCCTCATGGTGAGTGAGCACCAAAACGCGCGCATGGCAGGGCACGCGGGCACGGCAACCGTGTGCAGCACGGGCACGGCATGGCAGGGCGCGGTACATGATTCGCATGCTGCAGGCTGCGCGCGTCTCCATACATCGTTCGCGTTCTGAAACTACGTGCCGTGCTGCATATCTGTCGCATTCCGATGACTAAGCACGGCATGGCAGTGAGTTTTTTGTCGCACCCTTGTAAACCACGCACGGCAGGGCACGACACGGCACGCCCGGCACTTTTGTTCACATTCGGAAAACCAAACACGGGCACGGCACGGCAGAGTATGGCTCACGTTTTGCGTTCGTTCTTCCATCAATTCGTTCGGCGGATCTTTCTTCGGTTTGCGTTCGCTCGTTGTTCGTGGTGCGGCTCTTTCAAGCCAGTTGAGACCCTTAAACCGCATTCGCTGATCAGGGGGGTACATCGTGTGAGGACCTGATTGTCAGATCCCTGAGTGCGCATGCGCTTGCCAGGGCGTCGTGACCGCACTCGGATGGCTACCCACCAGGCCGCTGACGCCTTAATTACTTTCGTTTCACATGAAGGAGGTCGAAGAACAAACAATTTCAGGAGGGAAAAAACACACACACAGACACAATTCATCGTCGACTCCCAGGGAAATATGGGGAAACATGGGAAGTGGGGGGAAGACAAAAACCCTGAAAATATATGAAAATATTGGGGATTCTTTCATGCGTGTGTATTTATTTGTGAATCGTGACTTCTGATCGCATGCGGCGTTTCTCCAGCTTGCATCTTCGACTGCCCCCCTTGAGGACGTGCTCGTCTACGAGTTCTGCGACGGTCCGAGCCTGTGGGGCCTGCACCGCGACTTCAAGCGAAAGAGGAGTTGGCCCGGGCACCCACCATGCGAAAGGGAAGGCCTCAGAGTGCGGTCGTTCGGATGTCGTTTGTCGCAGCCCAGCGTCAAGGATTCGGAGGAGGAGGAGGAGGAAGAGGAGGAGGAGGAGGTGGATGAGGATGTGTTCAGAAGTTCTGAGACAGCGGCCATCCCCCTCGTTTCTTCAGAAACCTACGTGAATGACCATAACACCAGGTTTTGTAGGTTGGTGGAGGGAGCTGCTGCGGATGCTTCCCCTCGACCCGAGCGTACGTACCCCCACGTGGCCTTACATATCTTACAGCCTGCTCTCTACCACTTCTGTGCGCAGAAAAGTACGTGCTGCGCTTCGTGCCTTCCGCAGGCAGAACGAGATTCCCACCGTCGCGCGAATGGGAGACATCCTGCGGGTGTCGATCTTTCCCTCTGGGGCCAGCTCCTTGAGGAGTTCGAGGCCATGTTGTGCCTGACGGTTCTGGCGGCAGATTTGTGGTCCCTTCGAAAGCTTGGTGGACGCTCTCGGCCAGGCGACCGCTGATACTCACACGGCGATTCGAAGACTCGTTCGGGAGAGTGACGCTCGAGTTGATGAAAGATATGGCTGGACAGGTGCGGGACGACCTCCATGGAGGAATGTCTGAGGAAGCTTGGGAGTTCTCCGGTGCCTTAGTAGGCTCGGGGTGTTCAGGTCCAAGTTTGCGAGCGGGGGTTTGCCTCTCCAGCTCGACAAACAGGGGGAGTCCATTTAGACCCCTCACCAGTTGGCCAACGAGTTTACCAAAACTGTTCAGTGAGTATGGAGAACGGAAGCGCATTTGATCATTAGCAGCTCGTGCTGGCCTATACTTAACGAGAACCTTCGTGGGACAAGCGAAGCAGGAAAGGTGCTAGGTCTCTTCACATGCTTTTCCACTTGACAGGTTGCTTGTTCATTTTCTTTCCAGCGGGCGTGGCAGAGCTGCCGGGGTGACAACTTCACCGATTATTTTTTTGCTATTGCAGCCAAGCCATTTACCAGGCTTTTGCATCCCTAATTCCTTAAGGTCGGCCTCAATGGGGCGGAGCCGATCATGTGGAAAGGAGGGTGGGGCGCGCCCGTGCCCAAGTCAGGGGAACTTCCGCAACTTATGAACTTCAGTGGAATCACGCTAGGTTTCGACGTTGCTACACACCACCACCGTTTTCGAATACCCCTGTTGGTCCCAAAGGCACCGACCTAGCTGCCCTTGCCATGCAGGCTGCCATCAGTCCAGCCAAGGCCAAGCAAAGTCTATCATTTGGTTTCTCGACACAAAGGCAGCTTTCCTCCGACATCTCGTCTGGAAACCGGTCAGAGACATGTTGGCTGCTTGCGGTGCACCCCATAAGCGCTCGTCCCCTGGGATCATCGCAGACCTTACGACCCCAGCGGCTCTGGATAAGTTGTAACCAGGCCGTCTTTGGAATCTGATCGTTGAGTCCCTGGGCTCTACTTGGCTCGCTGTGAACGCATGAAAAAGGACCCCCGCCCCCCACATGAGGAACTTTAGATTAATGGGACAGTCAACCGACGCGTGATATGCAAGCAGAAGCAGCTTGACGCTCAGCCAACGACAACGCCGCGCAATTCAATGCGAACGGCGCGCTGCTGCTATGCTCGTCAGCGGCGAAACAGTTTTCCATCTGCGGCTGATCAGTTGGCGAAAAAGGTATTCCATGTCGTCCATGTCAACGGCACCAGGGTTGTTGTTATTATGTGTATGTTGTTGTTGCTGTTGCTGTTGCTGTTGCTGTTGTTGTTGTTGTTGAACTCTCATTTCAGAAGAATAATTATTGTTGATCCCCCCCGTCCGGTGCACAGTGTTTTTTCGATTGAAGTGCCCTTCCCCAGGCTCGCACCCTGTTTTTTTATCAGGGAAAGTCTTGAGGGTCTAACTGTGTCGTTGGCCCCCGGTTTACAACAACAACGGCTCCCGCTTGAAACTTCCTCGGGCCCCCCGCTCCCGCCCGAGACTTCCTCGCATTTTATTCAAGAATCGCGCTCTCCCTTGAGACTTCCTTAGAATTTATCATCCCGGCGCTCTGGAGTCGCGCTCTCGCTGGAGACTCGCTTGCAATTTACTGAAGAATAGCGCCCTTGCGTTGGAATTTCTTGCAATTCACTCAAGCGCCGCGCTCCCGACACCCAGGCACCCAGGAGTCGCGCTCACGCGTAGGACTCCCTCACAGATTACATAGGAATGGGGATCTCGCTGCCCTTCGTGGCCCCGTTGCAGCCCTTCGTGGCCCCCTCGCTGCCCTTCGTGGCCCCGTTGCAGCCCTTCGTGGCCCCCTCGCTGCCCTTCGTGGCCCCGTTGCAGCCCCTCGTGGCCTCCTCGCTGCCTTTCGTAGCCCCGTTGCAGCCCTTCGTGGCCCCCTCGCTTTGTTTCGTGGCCCCGTTGCAGCCCTTCGTGGCCCCCTCGCTGCCCTTCGTGGCCCCATCGCAGCCCTTCGTGGCCCCGTTGCAGCCCTTCTTGGCCCCCTCGCTGCCCTTCGTGGCCCCGTTGCAGCCCTTCGTGGCCCCCTCGCTGCCCTTCGTGGCCCCATATATGTATGCCATTCGTGGCCCCCGCTCGTTCGCGCCCGTGGTGGCCCCATATGCATCTGTCCTACGTGGCCCAGTTGCTACCCTCAGTGCCCCATCGTTGCCTTCTGTGGCCCCGCATTATCTGCCCTTCGTGGCCCCCGCTCCTTCGCGCTCTTCGTGGCCCCATACGCATTGCATTAGTGTCTCCGCTGTTGCCCTTCGTGGCCTACTTCGTGTCCTTGTGGCCCTGCTGTCGTTCTCTTTCGCTCTCGCTTTCGCTCGTTGTCGTCGTCGCCGTCGTCGTCGCCGTCGTCGTCGACGTCGTCGTCGTCGTGGTCGGTCCCCTGTCCGTCCCTCTTGGGTCGGGTCGACGGTCCGCGGCCGCCCCGCCGATCAGCGCTGCCGCTGGCCAGGCCGATTGTCCGCGGCCGCCCCGCCGCTTGCCGGGGCCCAGCCTGCAGGGAAGAAAGGTATACCCCCCAAAAGGGGTTCGATCGAAAACAAAGGGGGCGGGTGTCGAGGGTTTGGGAAATAGGCGTTATTGGACACTCGAGCAGATAAGGGCGAACAGTCTTAAAATGATTGTTGTTGTTGGTGGTGGTTGTGTTGTTGCTGCTGCTGCTGTTGCTGTTGTTGTTGTTGCTGTTGATGTTGATGTTGGTGTTGTCGTTGTTGTTGATGTTGTTGTTGTCGTCGTCGTTGTTGTTGCTGCTCAAAGAGGCATTCAGCGGGGATTCGTTCAAGAGGTCCTATTCATACAAGTGCAATCGCCAGCTGGCAGCGATATCTTCAGCACCTCAGGGGGTCCGTTGCCAGTGCAGGCGCTGCGCGATCACGGACTTGCCTAATTCGACGACCTCCTTTCCATGACGTGTGTTCCTGAACCTAGGCTATGGGGGTTTATAACTACGGAAAGGGGTTGCCTTTGGACGCAGTGCTGCAAACATTCGCATTAAGCAGAGGTCCGGAGCCCTCCCCCCCCTCCCCCCCTCCGTTGCCGCCCAATCTGGAAACGCCGAATAACAAGAACGCTCACAACATTGCCACCACATCGGTGTGCAGCGCACTCAGAAGCCTCGGTCCCGAACCCCCAAGCTTTGACGCTCGACCCTGGTTCCGGGCCGATTTCGGTGGGTTCCGGGCTCCCGGGTTCCCAGTCGATCTCCTTATCGATTTCCTTATCGATCCCATTTCAAACCATCCATTGGTTGGGGCTTTTCTCTGTTGGAATAGGCAACATTGCCACCACTTCTCTTGCACTTCGGTGCGCAGCGCACTTAGAGAAACCTCTCGGTCCCCGAAACCCCAAGCTTCGCTCTTGGGCCCCTCGACGCTCGATCCTGGGGCCTCGCTTTCGGAAAGAACCCCGAGGATTGAGAGTCGAGGATGGGAGACCGAAGGTGGACTGAGGATTATCGAAGGTCTCAAGCAGTGGCGAGGCGTCATGGCTCGCCTATAGGCCTACCAAAGAATGTTCGAAGATCTTTTTTGTTTTAACACATCGGGCTTACGTTCTAAGAACAGTGTCTTCGTTCCTAGAACATTTTGGGGTTCTAAGAACATGTCGTGGTAAGCCCATAGGAATGCCGGGACGGTAGGTCCCTGCTCAGAGGTCGAGGAGGGCCGAGGGACGGGGATGAGTCGAAGAAGGTCGAGGATGGAGGATGGAGGATCGAGTGGATCCCCGATCACACGTCCTCGATGTTTCCCCACCCCCCGCCGCAGCCGCGGCGGCCGCCCGCGCGGCCCCGCCGCCGCCGAGAGCACCCCCCCTCCTTCCTCCTCCTCCTCCTCCTCCTCCTCCTCCTCCTCCTCCTCCTCCTCCTCTCCTCCTCCTCCTCCCCCCGCGGAGGAAGCCCGTGCCGGCGCTACTCGCCGCCAGGCTCGTCCGACAGATGTTCAAGGCAGCCCGGGCGGGGCCGATCGGGCGGGCCCCCGCCTCCCCCTCCCCCTCCTCCCCCTCCTCCTCCCCCTCCTCCCCCTCCTCCTTCTGCTTACTCGCTGCCCCCGTGGCTTGGGGACGGAGTCGGGAAGGAACTATTTTGCCTCTAAGCCCAAGACGGCTTCTCTCGTGCTGGCAACATTTGCCTCTTCTGGGGTGCCTCTTGGCGCTGCAGGCCGACCTGGCCAGGTCCGCGGCGACCCAGGAACGAACGCCAGGGGCACTGGCCAGGCGCAACCCCCCCGAAGGGAAGTGGATTGCAGCAGACACGTAAAAAATGGGCGTGGGGGGCGGGAGCGCTAGACCCCGACCCTTGGAACAGGGCGCCTGCGCGCGAACCGAATCCAGCAAAACGCACGAGGAAACGAACGAGGAAGACGAACCAAGACCCGCGACCCCCCGCAGAAGCCCCTTTCCCCGAGTGCACAGCCCCCTAAGAAAGGACGCCTTCTGCTTACTCGCTGCCCCCGTGGCTTGGGGACGGAGTCGGGAAGGAACTATTTTGCCTCTAAGCCCAAACGGCTTCTCTCGTGCTGGCAACATATGCCTCTTGTGGGGTGCCTCTTGGCGCTGCAGGCCGGCCTGGCCAGGTCCGCGGCGACCCAGGAACGGTCGCCAGGGGCACTGGCCAGGCGCAACCCCGAGGAGGCGAGTTTTCACAAGCTCCCAGTGAGGCGCCTCCACAGAGGCATTGGTGAAACGCGCGCCTGGCGATGAGTGACGGCTGGGACCGCCGTGCCACTCGAAGCTGTAGACACGGCGCGTAGCAGCTGATCGCACCGTTCTGAATCTGAGAACTGGGCGTAAAAAAGGCTCGCATGGTTTCTGGGGCTGACCAGCTGCCCTGAGCCTGCATTAACTCTTCCGGCAAGGAGCGCGCTGTTTTGTACCAGTGGGCACCACCTTTGCGCAGGGACTGCGTTCCCACTGCAGCAGTCTGAAAGAATTGCGTGCGATTGCGGCGGAAACAATCGCAGTTCATAGGGCGAGGCTCCGCCGAATTGTTTGTGCAAAGCACGGGAGCATCTGGGTCGGAACCCCAGCGCGAGTCCCGCTGCGCCAGACATTCCCGCAGGAGGTGGCAAGGGCGTAGACGTGGGATGTCGACCATCCTTGGGATGTGGTACACCATGCCTTGCCCGAGCGGGTCGTTGTTTTCGCGGGCAGCGAAAACCGTCGCGAAATTTTCGTGCAAAGAGATGTTTTGACGCCGCAGCGCGAGAGTCTCGGAGCACCTCCGGACGCCGAGAAAAGATACTGTTGCTATAGCGGCGTCCCGGGCAGCTGCCTGGCTGCCTGCTTTGAGGCGGGCGGTCTGGTAGCACCGTAGCTCCTCCAGAGATGCCGGGCGTTTCGCGTGCGACCGTGAATGGTCGGCCCGCTTTTTGAGACCTCTCCAGAATTGGGCCGACCGGTCCGCCCATGCACTGTCGAATTGCGCTGTCAAGTTGCGCCGCTGGTGTCAACGGCGCACTGCAGCGCGCAGATACGCGACGGATGACCAGGACCGGCCGTCCATCTGGGCAAACAGCAACATTAATTTTATGTCTGAATCGCACGGCAGCAGCTGCAGCCCTGCAGACTTTTCGAAAGAATCTACGCCGGTGCGCAAGGAGCTTCTACACTGCTTCTTGGTGCTTTCTTCCAGGACTGCTTGGAGGCAGCTGTGGATAGCCGACGCGGCCCTACTGCGGTGCGCCCCTTGTTCCACAGAAGCGCTCTCGCGAATTAGGGGCAAAAAGTCGGGGCCCTCACCCAGAAGCTGGCGCGCGCCAGGTACGTCCACCGGCGGGTCTCGAACTTGCTCGGGATGAAACGCGGGGGACACAGCAAGCCCGCTTGACGAGCTACGGTGCCAGCGCGCGTCGCTCGGGCGGCCCCCCCTGCAGGTGCCGGGGGCGCCTGCGAAGGAACAGCGCGGGGGCCCTGGATATACGGCCTCTCTGCCGAAGGCCCCGGGTGCTCGAAATCGTCGCGGCGCAGGCGGGCGGGGCCGAGACGCCGGCGGCGCGCGGGCACTGGCGAACCGGGGCCGCGCTTCATCTTGAGCCCGACATGGATAGCGCCGCGGCGGCCTTCCCGGACAACCGACAGGCGGGGGGAGGGGCGGCGACGAGGGTGCATTTCGCGCCGCCGGACGGACAGAAAAGTGCACCTATCGCACGTTTTTATTCTGCGCGCTGGCGGTTGCCAGCCGCCTGGGCCGGCCGAGGCCCCAAGTGATAGTGGCCCCGGCGGTTGTGATTGCCTATGGCGCGCGGGCCCGGTGACCCCGCGCAGCGATGAGACAGCATTTTTCTCGACCCGAGGGGCGCGACAAAATGAAGCGATCGTGCGTCTTTTACAACGCTTTCTGTCGGTCGCATGGGCCGCTCGAGCCGCGCCCGGGCCCCCGGCGATTTTTCTGGCCCCCCAGTGGTTATTGCTTGCGGCGCGCAACCAGCAACCGCCGCCCGCGCCCGCCGACGACCCAGGGACGGGACCGAGCAGGAAGGGGGGGGGCGGGGCGGGGATGGCGGCGCAGGGGGCAGGCGAAAAGAAAGGAGGCAGTGTGATGACAGGAGCAGACGGTGACGCGACGACTTGCGCGTTCTTTCTGGGTGCGCGCGCCGGGCGCGGCCTCGGACAGAGTCGCGGCGACCGGCCCGGCGCGCCTGCTCGGAGCGCAAGCGCGCGGCGGAACAAAAAGGGCCATGCGCTGGGAACGGCCCGGCAGGGGCTCCGCCGGCAAGCGCGTGAATTAAATCCCGCGCCCCGGACAAAGGCGCTGCGGCAACCAAGATCGCGCGCAGAACAATCTGCGCACCCAGGGCAACGGCCATTGATCGGCGCCGGGCGCCGACTCGCAGGGGTCAGTGGCCGCGGGGGCAGTCCGCTGCCCAGTGCCTGTCGCCCTTGGCCCTGCCTGCCCCCTTGCACTTTGGGCAACTGAACGCGCGGCGGTTGCCAAGGGACCTGCGCGTCGAAAAAATATGTTTCACCGCTCCACGGTTCGAGCACAAACAATTTCGACACACCTCGGACACGAGCGCCTCGATCGCCCCCGGGCTGGTTTAGCTGTTTTTTCCCGCGAGCCAAGCCTCGATCTCAGAGACGCTAGGGTTGTTGGTGGCAAAAACGTGCAACTCGAAGAACAAGGCGTCAGCCTCTCTCTTCTTGGCGGCCTTCTTGGAGGGCTCCACGGCGGCCGGGCGCAGCGACCTTTCCCGCTTGACAACGCCCGAGGCGCGGTTGGACCTGCCCTGCTCCTGGGCCCGCCCCTGGGAGCCCCCAGACAGTTGTCCAGGGGAGCCGGCGCCAGTGCTGTCCGGGGAGGCGCTCGCAGCCTTTGTCTCCAAGGCCGCGGACCGCAGAATCAAGTCGATTCCGAAATCACGGAGCAGCAGCTCGCTGTCGAGCGTTACCGCGGCAGATGGCTTGTTGCATCGCCGCTTCAAACTTTTGATACATTCGTAGACGCACGGCATCAAAGCCAGTTTCTGGGCAGCGTGCTTCGCCGGTGCCGCATTTTTCTTGCTCGCTAGCACCGTCGCGCGCTTCTCGATCAAATGGCGCAGCGCCAAAAGGGCCCGAGCCAAAGCGCGAACAGCTTGGTCGCTGCTCTCAGCGCGCTCGCCCAAGTGCACCTGACACCGGTCGGGCCCCCCGCCCTGCTCGGGGAAGCACAGCTGCTTCCAGGTGGCCCGGGCCGCGCGGCGCAAGGCTGCGCTGCTCTGAAGCGCGGACAGCTCCGAATTAGCTGGGTGGGCGGCGTGCAACGCGTAAACGGTGGCCATGGGATCTTTTGGGTCAGCGAGGGACTCAGTGACAGACTCCTCTACCTGGTCGGCGCCCACCATGATCGCAAACCACGCCCGCCTGATCCGGTCAAGGCTGAGCTCGCGCAGCGCCTTGCGGAACGGAAACTCCGCGTCTGCCCGGGCCTGGAATTCCGGGATCCGGGCCGCCTTCGAAAGACCCTCTCCGGCGGCGCGATTGGCAGCGACGCCGACGGTTCTGCCGACGGCGACCTCTTTGGCGATGCCGGCGAGCACCGCTGCGTGGATGGCGCCTCCCTGGGCGCACTCGGCCGCAATCGCCTCGGCGATGAGAGTCTTGACGCGGTCCTCACTCGGATTCGCCACCCCCCCGGCGGGGCGGTGGTCGATCGGCAGATCCGCTGATGGACCTTAACCGAAATGCGATAAACAGAAGCTTTCGGGGCATCCGCAAGGCACGGACAGTCGGGGAGCAGAGGGGGGCAGCTGAAGAAACAAGAATCTGAACAGAAGGAATACTTCCGGCCCTGGGTCGACAAGAAAACTCCAGCAATGCGCCGCAAGAGTGGGCAGGGGCGAAGGACCAGGAGGGGGAGGGCAGAGGAAGGGTAAACATGTGTAATACCGCATGCGCTTTTGCAAGTGCCGAAGAGCACAGTCAACTGCGTCAGCGCTTGCGCTTCTGGCGCTTCGGACGCCAAGCTTTGGGGCGCGATGCGTGACAGATCCGACGCCGGGCCTTTCGACGGGCCCCGATCGGACGGCCACCGGAAGAGGTCTGATCCGGCGGGCCACGATCTGATCCTGCGCCACTTGGAAAGCAACGGCGGACGGAACCACGGGGCTCCCGGGTCGTCCGGGCACAGGACGAAAACGCGCAAGTCTGCGTCATCAGCAACGGCGGAATTCAAAAATTGGAACGTCTCCTTCAAGAGCGCGCGCGGCGGGTGCGCCCACACCACGTGGCCGCGCAGGTCGGCCTGGAAAGCAGAAAGATCTGGAAATCGCCACTCGCGGGCGAGAGCCGTCCTGCCGAGTCCATCTGCGAACGTGTCCAGCGCAAACTGGACGCCGCATCTTGATTCGACCTCTTGAAACAAGGCCTTGCGGAGAGCGGTGCCCCTGCGCTGATCCTTGCGCCAGGAACGCGCGAAGTCCAAGGACCGAGAACCCGCGTCTGCAATGACGTCGCTCTTGCCAGGGA